CCACATCACAAGTTCACTACCATCTGCAGTGCACCCGTGGGAGGCACTCAGGAAATGGTGGGCCTCTCCAGTCCTCCCAATTCTGCGTTTTTGTGACAATCACAGGGGTTGGCCATCAGCAAGGGGCAACACCGAGATGCCAGGCTATGAACAAGATCAACCAAAACTTGAGATCCTGACACATTTGGCATTCATTCGCTCATTCAGGAAAGATATAAGAGGGCCTGCCGTGTGGCTGCTCTGGGCCAGGCACTGGGCTCCCCTCTGGGAACACCTCGAAACACAGCCTGTCCCTGTCCTTGAGGGGAGAGGTCACAAATCAGTAACAGATAAATAGCTATGTGCCAGAGCTCTAAAGGGGCTGGGAAGGAGCATAGGGGCAGGGGGCTGCTTAGCGGGGTCCTCAGGAAAGCCCTCTCCCAGGAGCTTACATTTGACCTGAGACTGGAAGGGAGGAAAGGAGCTGGCCATGCCAAGGTTAGGAGGAGGCGGCCTGTGCAGAGGCTGCAGAAAGCAGCATCTATGCCCTGCTCAAGGAGCCACGGAGGGGCGAAGGCAAGGTGGGGCTGGGCTCAGTTCCCTTGGCCATGGTCATAATCAGAATTTTTATTCTGAGAACAAAGAAGGGCACAGAAGGTGCTTATGCAAGTGAGCAGCATGGTCAGGTTTGTGCTTTTAAAAGATGGATGCTGGATGAAGATGGGGACAGGGTGTGGAGTGAGGAGGACTGACCAGCGAGGAAGCTGTCACAGCCATCCAGGCAAGAGACAAGGGAGGCGGCTTGGTCAGGGCCTGGGGCCGTGGAGATGGGAAAGCATGGACACATTCAAGCTGGATTTTGGAGAAGAATCTAGAGGACTTACTGATGGATGGGAGACTCTCAGGCCACTTCCAGGTGCCCCTACCCAGTGGCTTTGTGGGAATTGGGAAAAGGGCTCCCTTTCTCCAGGTGGATGCAGCACCATGAACACCCACCCCCCATCCAAGCTCCCAGCGAGGACGCGACCTGCCAGACCTTCACTCAGAGGCCCCAAGAGGAGGGAGCCCCAGGTTTCTGCTTGAACAACTTTGGATTTACAAAGCTTGCAGTGCTATGGGAATCTAGGGAGAGCCCTGGGTTCTGTCCAAGGTTTGGGGACCATTTCAGTGGTGATTCTGCCCTGCCCCGAGCTGTGCGTGAGGTTTCTCCCCTCCCCACCCAGGCGCCAGCCCTTTTACAGTCCTCACCGCATTGCATGCAACCAACCTTGAGAAGAAACACAATTTAAAAACCCTGGAAGCTAATGGTACAACAAGACTATTTAGCACTTAAATAAATGCAAGTTCTAGAACATCTGCAACCAAAATGAAAGTAAATAATGACAGAACGTGAGTCATGATAGCACTTGCCTGGTAGTCTGCAAAGCTTGTAAACAAAGCATGCTCCCGAATGCAGAGATGGTACCTGGGAGCTGGGTACCAATTCATCAGCTCTCAACTCCATAACACATTAAGGGACCTATGTCCTCGTCAGCAACACCATCATGGGAAACTTCATTAACTAATTCTTCATTCTCTAGAGTTCACCTGAGACTGGAATGAAAAACCTTATCCCCGTAAGAACAGAGTACTCATTCTTGTGTTTTTCAAAAGAAATCACCACAAGTGTCAACATGAAGCTTAACCTCCTGATATTTACGAGGAAAACAAAACAACTGAGCTTGTAAACTTCAGAGATAAACACAACTAGCCAGTCATGTCCCATCGGTCCCTCTCCCAGGGACTGGTCACTTTCTTTCTCGTAGCAGAGTTTTTGGTAAGGACCCCGTCTCATCTCCTGACCAGCTGCTCCCTGCAGGCAGGGTTGGTGCCTCCTGCTTTCAGCCCCTACATTCCTATGGCTAGCATCTGGCCTAGGATGTAGCAGCTGCTCATTAAATATCTGTTGTGTGAGTAAATGAGCATCTACGCCAAAAGGCCGGTATTCACCCCAGCCCTGGGTTTCCCTGGGGCCTGTCCAGGCAGAGGATGGACCAAAAAGGGAGATGGGGTCAGGAGTTGAGGTTTGGTTCCAGCCTCAGACTCTACTGGTTTTCCCATCTCTAAAATGGGAAAAATAGCTGTTCTCCCAATTTTTAAGGTTTTGTGTATGACACAATGGGAAAGAAGCACTTGGAAGGTGCTCTGGAGGTGTGAGGTGGTCCCCACCACGCCTCACAGGGGAGTTCTGCAATGGAGAAGGTGGGATAGTGCAGGAAAATGGACCACAACTTACTCTGAGAAAGCCAGGCGGGACAGCCGAGTGGATTTGGAGGTATAATTAATGACTGCAAAGTCACAGAGAAAAACGTCACCCAGGCCATGCTCTCTGCACATGGGAAATGGAGATCAGGGCACAAACCATAGAGCTAGCAGATAACACAAATATGTGAGAGGCCTATTATAAGGCAATAGGGAATGATGGGGCCTGCAGCCAACTGGACAATACACTCACGCTCTGCCCAAGGCGTTTGCACTGAAAGATTCAAAACACACAGCCCGTCAAACACAACATCTATGGCCTGCAGGCTACGAGTTTGAGACCCTGCAGGCTGTTGTATTAAGTGTGTTTTTTATTCTGATGCTTTGACATCTGGGGCCTTGCTGACACTGCAGGGACTGTCCCTCCCAGGGCTAGCTAATTCCTAGAGATAGTAAACAATTTCATATGCAAACTAACCAATCCAGAGCTCTGCTGCCAACCACCTCCTTTACTGGGCTCTCACACTCTGGGCCACCTGCCCTCATCACTCAGGGCCAGTTACCAGACAAGCAGGGACAGCCCCTATGCCCCAGAGCCCACGGAAATTATTCAAACTAGCCAATCCTAAGCCTGCTTATCTTGCCCTGCCTTTCCCAAGGAAACCACAATAAAGGGTCTTGCCCACAATTTCCCTGCTCCCTCTGCCTCCTGACTGACGCTGGTGATTCCCCACGTGGCCCTGCGTGGTGTGGCCTGCCCCCTCCTCTTAAGAACTGTAACAAACTCTCTTTCCAATGGCAGTAGTCTCCTGATCTGTTGGCCTCACCATACCTGAATAATAATGAAACCTACGTTTTAAAACACCTGTAAACTCCACTAGAGCATGAATCATCGTGGCAGGTGTATTCCTCCCATCAAATCTCAGAACCTGACACAGTCCCTAGTACATTGCAGACACAATTTAAATACTAATCAATAAATTGATGAATGGATGGATAGACATAGGGTGAAAGTGAAAAGCTGGTAGAAGCATCTGTCAGGCTATGTGGATTCCCTTCACTTCAGTGTGACTCTTGCAATGGCCTTAGGAAGCTAAATTCTGTACATGCCTCAGTTCTGCAATTGGCATAGACGTAGGCAGCCAGGCAGGAGCAAGCTGGAGGAAGTGGCGTGAGTCCACGCTGGTAGGAGTCAGCTGTGGTTCAACCTATAGGCTCACCATCCCACTGACATTCAGCCTTTCAGGCAGCTCCTAAGCAAAAGGCTTTGCTTTTAGTAGACAATCTTCCAGCTAACTCTAGCTGTTTCCTTTCTTCAAATGCTTATGAAGAGAGCGCCACCTCAAAGGGTCTCTGAACCCAGAGGTAAAGGGTAAAAGCCAGAAAGAGGGTTCACAGCCCGCCTGCGGTCTCTGGGACCTGCCTGGCACAGGCTCTCCGGGAGCACTGAGTGGGTTGTTCAGCTCCACGGGGCCCCAAAATCACCCTATATCTGCAACTGTGCAGTGGGGTGGGTCTGCATCCCTGCACTTGTCTGGTTAGGAAACTGCAAGTTGAGCTAGAAAACCCATGCTGTTTTTAATCTTTACTCTTAAAAGTGCATCAACCTACTCTGCTTAAAGGTGCATCGAATTTCTCGGATGACAAGGCCTTTAGGTGTCATTCTCAGCATCAGTGTCTCTCGCCCCAGGCAGAGAGAGGGCCTGTCTGGGACGTCCTGGGGAAGACGGAGAACCCCTGCTGGGGGATCAAGCATTTGCTGCTTCTGACGAATGCTCAGTTGGATGACTCGGTTCTCAGCAGCAAATGGCTCCTTGAAGGCCATCCCTTCCCCAGGCCCAAGTGAGGACAGGAAGCATTCGCTCACAGTGAATGGACAATGAGGCTGGAGATTCTGGAGGACCACCCAAGAGGTCACACTAGGGGAGAGGAGGGTCATCGCTAGGGTGACCATGCGAACTGGTTCACCCAGAACAGAACCAGCTTAAACCTTTTATCCCAGTGTAATTATTAAACTCACTCCCCTTCTCTCTCAAAAGTGTCCTGGTTTGATTGATAAATTATACAGTCACCCTCAACATCAGGGAGTTTTGCAAATGGGAAAGTCTGAGTCAGAAGGCTCACAAGTAACCGAGGCTGGTTGCTTTGTCTGTACGAACGGGAGTTTAAGGTCTGGCAAACCTGTTGGCGAAGGTCTGGCAGCAGCAGACGGCAGGAACCATTAGCAGAAGGGAACTATGCCTGACCTTCGGCTCTGCTGGTCTCCCCTCTAAAGGGGGATGGGGGTGCCCAGGCCGAGCAGGACTTCATGCACAGCCTCTCCACCCGAGAAGAGACTTTCAGAGACAGCACGTCTTTCCCTTGTTAAGTCTCATGCCCAGAGTTAACCAGTCCAGCAAAGGAGAGGTGCAGAGAAGAAGGGGTTCCAATGTCCCCAGAAGGGCTATGGGAGAAGGGAACATCCCACCAACTCCATCATCGGCACGGGCCATGTGCCGCATCCCGTTCAACACCACCTTGCGCTGCCATGGGGACCCTGAACAATTCTCCATTTGTCTCTCTTTCTTTCTGGTTGAGATCTTGTTTCTGTCAAGATGAACTATTTGTCTGTGTCACATGAAATGTCACGGATTGTGGGCAAAACCCGGACAAACTCACGTACAAGAAATAAGAACCCTCTGATGACGCTCACATGCTGCTCCCCAAATCCATAGAGGCTGTCAGTGATGAATTTTCTTTTCCTAGCACTGAACTTGCTCTTGAGAAGCATTTAAGCCAAAAGGAGCCTGACAGACAACACCCCCAGTGGCCCGAGTCTGTCAGATCAACTCATTCTCGAGCTGAGTAGCCAAGGAAATCTGCGGACATGCATGACCCCTCCCACAGAGGCAGGGCAAAGACTTAAAAGGTAAGAGGTGGCTATAAGTTTCACCTGGTGGCCTCACATGAAGTTTAATCAAGCTATAAAATGCTCGAAGTGTCTAGTGTTTAAGGACTCTCTCTGCCTTTTTTTTTGTGTGTGTGTGTGTGAACTAAAACTTCAAAGCTATTTGTTTTTTTATGTAAGATTAGCCATCATGCAAAACTTACTGGTCAAGCAGTTAATAAAATACACATATCCCATGGAGGGGTTTTGTACATTTCGGTCCTTGCAGATAACAAAGCAATTAAAACCCCACATGGTCCTGAGGGGGAGTTCCTTCACTTCTGAAAGCTGCCAGTCCCGCCCGCTCTTTGGGGGCTCATGTGTTATAAATTCTCGAAGCTCTTTTAGCTGCAGTTTGAGCATCGGGTGGATCTTCTTCCTCTTCCTCGGTTCGCTTGTGTTTCAAAAACAAGTCAGACTTCAAGAAGCGGCTGTAGCTGTCGTACTTCATGAGGTTGAAGATCTAAGGAGGAAAAGAAAGAGTCTGAAGGATGAGGCCAATCAGGCCGTGAACCATCCTCTTAAATATTTATCAAATACCTACGTGTGCCAAAGCATACAAATATGTGCAAAACACACACAAAGAAAGCTAAAGTCAGCCGCATGCTAGACGAGGCAGATTTCCTGGATGTTTTTGGTCATTATGAAATAATCTCAGTGGAATATATAATAGCTTAGAGAGTCACATGAACAAATCTATCTTTATTTTCCACGAAAGTATAGATTCACACAGCACTGATTCATACCCTGGCATCAAGACGTCCTTTAAGAATCCCTACTTTATTTGGATACATAATCCAGGGACGTATTTCTTCAGGAACTTGAGATAGCGAAAAGAGACTCTTCCTGCGGAGACAGTGGTACTGTAAAAGCTGCTGTCAAATCAGGTGATGCCAGTGTTGCTGAGACGCCCCAGAAATCTGGCATCCGAGATCTCAGACAAACCTATTATTATGCCTAGAAGCAAAATGGGGCTTATTCAATGCAGGGCAGGAGAGTGCAATTATAGTCTTAGCAAGGAGAGGTTTCAAGAACAGGCCCTAGTTAAAGGAAACAGCAGTGGGCTGCAGAATGCAAACACCTGCACACACACATGGGCCCAGGAGCACGTCTCGGGGGAAGAAATGATTCTAAGGTATGCTCATCAGGTGCGAGAGGAGGACCCTTGACGGAGCCTCCGTCCTCTGGACTAGAGGGCTGCCCCTGCCACACTGCAGGTCCTCAGGGGGTTGTCCCCCTCTCTTCTCGGCCCCGGTCCCTATTCCCAGCATCCTTTCTCCCCCTCTCCCACTCAATCCTATGCCCCCTCCTCCCTTGCCCTACAAAAGGGGCGGGGAAAGGAGATGCGAGAAGAAAAGCAATTTCCGGCTGTGGAGGGGACTGTCTCATTTGAGAACTCTCTCCCCCTTCATCTCTCGCTCAGACCTCTCGACTGAGTGTTCAGGACATTCTGTGGACTAAAAATCCGCACAGTGCACCCTGGTGCCTTCACTTACTGCACTATCATGGGCTCAACCAGTGGAAAGTTCCAGAAGTGTCTAGAATGTAGATCACTGCCAGGTGGGGTTATCAAGTGGGTGGCAAAACTCTGACATCTTTTAAATCCGCCCTCTCCCAACATGCACACAAACTATTTTGTACGTTAAACCTTTGATGGAGTCTAGGACTCAGAACACCTGCCTGGGGGATGGGAGAGCGGGAACCTTCGGCCTTTCCACCTTCATTTTCCCAAGACGGCTTCAACCACAGGAGAACTGCCTAAATCATTTGGCTATCAGCCGGGTCCACAACCCAGGGAAACATTTAGGACTTTGGGTTTTCTTTAAACCCCTAAACTGCTGCCTGCGCTTCCCCAAGCGGCCTTCCAGTCTTCTCCAACTCTCCAACTGTTCAGAAAGACCATGCCTCAGTAAGCCCCCACTTTGAGCCTCTCAATAGCAGTCATCTATTTTGTAGCAATCTGGTAATCCTAGACTTATTTGTTGAGGTTTGGAGAAATTATTCATTAAAAAAAAACACTCCCAGAAAATACAAAAACCATAGCCAGGGGCGAGGTGGAGGATGAGGAATGCCACTATCGTTCCGTGGCCTCCCACAAATGTGCTAGCAGACGTCAGCATCCCTCACCTGCATGATTCAGCCCTTCCAGGCATGATAGCCCCCAAAGGGAACCTGGAGATGCCCACCTAGTTCAAAGTCGGGAACGGACGCCCAAAGAGTGACTAATGAAACCAGCTTCGTGAGTGCCCCTCCTGGCACCCAGCCCTGCACCCCCTCCCACACTGAGTCCGCAGCAGATGGGACCCACCACTGCCAGCAGGATGCGGTTGGACCCAAGCGGCTCATCTGAAGTCTCTGTGTGTGGGAGTGGAACATCCTGTTTGCCTGTGGTGGCTCTGAGGCTCACACTTCAAAGGAGAGAAGAAAAAAGGCCGGGGCTGGAGGCAGCCAGGGCCAGAGGAGGTGGGGCAGGGAGGGGAAGGAGGTTCAGCTGGGGGGAAGGCTCAGGAGATGCTCAGGGGCTGGCAGGACACTCAGCCTCCAGGAGATCCCAGGGGACCACAGGCTCTTCTCCCCCCGCCTGGCACTCCAATGGTGCCTGCAAGCTTGAGGGGAGGGGGCTGCAAGCTATTTAACAGGAGCATAAGGGCCACTCCCTGCCTCGGGCAGGTGTGAAATGCCCATGAAGTCCTTCAGGCTGGGCTCCTTCTCCAGGAGCCCTTGCCACCTCCTGGTGCGGCTGTGGAGTCACCGGGAGACAACTGCAGCCATCAGACCCCAACAGATTAGGAAAGAAAAGAGATGCCATTCCCAGCGGCCTCCTTTTCTGGGGCTGTGAGTTGCCTGATATCTCTGTGCGGGACCTGCAGAGCAGGCTTCCCACTGGCACCGGCAGAGTCCTGGGCACCAGCCTAGAAGCACACAGCAACAGGGTGCTCCTGTTACAGGCCCTCGTGGGTGGTGCCCAGCAAAGATGGCTTAGAGGATAGAGAACGCTCCTAAAAACCTCCTCCAAGAAAGTGACCAACGACAGTGTACCCAGCTGCTGCCCAGAGCCTTATTTATCACAGGGCAAATGGCCATGACCGGGGTCCAATACACGTTCACCCAGTGAATGAATAAAAACTACTCAACGTGCAACAAAAGAGGGCTGGCAAAATAAATCAGGCAAAATAAATAAAGAGCTCCTTCTATCCACGCACCAGGCAGAATTGTGAGGGAGGCACAATTCAGCCCATAACAGTGAGCAAAGAGGGAGGCGTGAGCAAACACTGGCCATCTAGCTCTGGAGCCCACACTCCTAACCACTAGGCAACACTGCTGCTTATATGGCAGACCAATAGGCAGTCATTGAAAATGAAGTCTACAAAGAGAGTTTAACAAGGAAAAATGTACATGAATGTTAAATGGCTAAATACAAGTTTTGAAAACACACTAAACCTAAAAACAATGATCCTGAATATGTTTTTTAAGGGTGTGTTTGTATGCATAAATGGGAAATAAATACCCCAAAGGTCAGTGTAGGGGTTGAACAGTGTCCCTACAACATTTGTGTCCACCTGGAACCTTAGAAAGTGACTTTATTTGGAATTAGAGTTTGTTGAGGATCTCGTGACGACATCATCTTGCCCGGACTTGGGGTGGGCCCAAATCCAAGGAGTGGTATCCTTATAAGAAGAGGGAAGGACACACAGACACATGGAGGGAAGAGGGCCATGTGAACACAGAGGCAGAGGTCGCAGTGATGCAGCTATGAGCCGAGGATCGCCAGGAGCCACCAGAAACTAGGAAGAGCCGGGAAGGATTCTTCCTTAGAGCCTGCAGAAAGAGCGCAGCCCTGCCAACATCTTGATTTTGGACTTCTGGCCTCCCGAACTGTGAGAGAATAAATTTCTGTTGTTTTAGGCAACTGAGTTTGTGATAATTGGTTACAACAGCCCTTGGAAACTAACTAAGTTGGCTTATCGATTTCACCTAACTCCCACTTGAGCACAGAAAATGAGATGGCCCTAGGGGTTCCAGAAGGTTCTACAAAACCAGGACTCTCTGATGGGGAGAACTGGCCTCACCGGGGCTGGACTGTGACCATCACCTGACCAACACACCTCAAGCTGCCTGCAGGGAAGAGAAAGAGGGAGGTGGAGACAAATCTGGGAGGAGGGCTGGGGCTCCAGGTGGGCAGATGGCATCGGAGCAGAGCTGGGAAGCAGAGGGTTCTCTGAGACAGGCAGCCGATGAAGCAGAAAACTCAAGTTGGCAGCTAAGTTGCATTCCATACTTTTTTTTCTTTTTTACCAAGACAGCTGTGGCTCAGCAGGTTCGGGTTTTGGCAGCCCCACATCTGTGAGCTGCGTGCCCAGAGTGTAAACTGTTTAGCGTCGTTGCCTTGGGATCCAATCCTGCAGGCTGCTGGAGGTGGGACTCTCGGTGAAAAAGGAGAAGGGAGCCTTTCTGCCGCTGTGCAACTATGCACAAGGGCCCCAACACAAGGTCATTACACAACCAAGGCGCCCCTCCCTCTCCAGATCCCAGCCAGTGAGTGATTGATCAGCACCGGCCTTCCTGCAGGGGAAAATATCCGGGTCGTGCTCCTGCTCCAACTTGAGAGTGTTCCGAGTCTGCTGACCTGGGAAAGGACTCCCTCCCTGAAGCATCCTCATCCACGTGGAGAAAGAGAAGCCTCACTAGCCCCAAAGGCCCCTCAGTGAAGATTTCATCACTGTCTCAATTAAGTGCATTCCAAGCCTCATAAATCTTTTAACACTTCTCAGAGGACAAGGACCTTAAAAGACCTCAACTACACATGCGTCCTCCCTTCTTTTCAAAACCTTCCGCCATGTTATTTCAACTGGGTACGAGGAGGAAAAAATAAATCCTTTAATGCAACAGAAAGCCTTTTAGCGGGATTTCACATCTGCTTCAAGAACCAGCTTTAGTTCCTATACGGAAATTGCCGAGAGAAGACGGCAAGCGCCGCTGTCTCTGAACTGAAGTTCTAGAACGTGTTCTCCTCCCCACACACCTGGACCACAGACGTGCTTTCACAGCACACAGACAGGCAAAAAGTGCCAGGAAAGCAGGCCCCTCTCCCCCTAGCCTCATTCCATGAAATGATGAGAGAACCGGCGGGGCATCGAAGAGGCTGTTGGGACAGGGCACAAACAGGATGTCCCCACCCCCTGAGTGGAAGACTGCCTCCCCCTCTCCTCAAGTGGGAATGGGGGGCACCCAGGAGAAGGTCTGAGGGCCCCTGGCAGAGAGCAGGTGAGAAGACAAAACAGCTCAGGTGAGCCCTTGTCCCAAAGCTCCAGGGAGGGCCACCAGAAGTTTCTGTCACCCTGGACACTGCTCCTCCTTCCTGGATAGGTCTGCCAGAGATGGGCGATGTGCCAGGGTGGGATCAGAACTCCAGAAAGAGGCTGGACATGGACAGAGACAGAGAGACCCCTGCTCAGTGTGAAA